GAGACAATTTGTGACTTTTTAATCTGCACCATTGAGCACTTAAGAAACCCAAAAAAAATAAAAAAAAATAAAAAAAATTGAAAAAAAAATTGTTAAAATTATATTAATTATAATGTCTGGTTCCTTAAATATTGAGTTCCAAATCCACATGGTTTATTTTTATAGAATTACGTGGTTAATATATATGTTATCGTTCAAGAAAATATTTTTCACAATAAATATGATATGAAATTTATTGTTCAAGATTGATTTTGAAAGTCAAATTGAGACCTTATTTATAAATCAGTGGGAATCATGAATATTTATTATAGTTAATGCCAAAGGACCAAAAACACCAATTATAGTTGCGTTTGCATCATTAGACTTTTCCTATTTTTATAATAACCTCTTCGGTCTCGAGGTAAAAGAGAAACACAATTTGATTTGGACGATTTGCGATATATTTTTAAATCAAACCATTTTTTCAATGTGGCTCAATTTAAAATCATGATTAGCATACAAAAAATAACATACAATCATAAATATTAGCTAAAATTTCACATTAAAAACAAAAACAAATATTACAAACCAAGTTTTACACTTCTAATCATTACATGTTAGAATATGATACAATCATTCTAGCTCTAACATGTTAGTCAACACTAATTGGAGCAACATACATGATTCATTCTCTTTCATAAAGAAGAAAAAAATGTATTAATTAATTATAGTTGAATGATATAAAGTTATTAACAAAAGAAAATGAATAGAAATATCAAATGTGATAGTACTTTCTACAACTTTATGTGAACCATCCAATATTTCTACCTCATTCAAACATTGACGAATCGCTATAGGTTCTTTGTTACTCTGCAACCAAATTTTTAGAGCAAATCATCACTTCAACCATCTCTCCACTCAATGAACTCCTAAAGGAATCAAGAATTCGACCTCCAATAGTAATAGGAAATGCAGACTCAGAAACAATTGTGAATATTTGAATAGTTGATATATCTTTGACAATTTAGGAGATAATTTTATACTTATAAGCATTCGATCTCTACCAAAATAAAATATCAAAAGACTCCTTAATCAAATATTAACAAAGTCCATTTAAGTAATACACCAAATCATTCTATCAATTAACATGAAAATTTAGCAACTAAGTTAAAATTTAAATAGTAAATAGAGTGACTGGACCGGGAAACTAAGATGCAAATAAACAAACAATACTGTCCAATTGAAAATTTAAGGGATCCCAGAATAAATTAAAATAAAATAACACAACTACCAATTATCAAAAAATAGGAAATTTTGAATACATTGACCTAAAAATTTAATTGAAATTTGGGAAAATTACTAGTAGAAGAAAAAAAAAATTGTATGAGTTTGATTAAAATGTAGATTTAATCTCAATTGTGATGGGTAATAACGAATATGGTTTGATAATAGTCGTTTAAGCACTTCAGCCAATTTGAGGATTTTGCCTTCACAATTGTGATGGCTAATGAGTATTTGAGCATGATTTAATCAATTAATTGAGATGGATAGTCATCTAATTGAGTTTGGAATTTAATTTGATTGGGTCTATCATTGATCTATTTTTTAAATAGGATGTATTTACTTTTAATTGGGTTGAATAAAATTTAAATTATTATTATTATTATTATTATTATTATTATTATTATTATTATTATTATTATTATTATTATTATTATTTTAAATGATTTGACAGTTTGAAATGGTTTACAAAAATTGAAACCTAAATCAATCTAGTTCAAAGTGATTGGGTTCAATTTAAGACCAAAATATTAAAAGATCCACGTGAATCCAAACCAATAATTTCAGAAAAGCGATCTCGGTTTAACTTTGTAGTTTGATGGTTTTGTTGTCCATCCCAATGCATAGTATTCCACACACTTGCATGGCCCATGCCGTAAAAATCCAAGTGAGATTACAAAATTTAAAAATATATATCTATTATTAAGTTTTACAAGATTTAGTATTATTTTTTATTTTTATTTCTGGATCTTTTTTTGGATAAATAATAACTATAGATGAATTTTAAACATAACGTTAATTCACGTATTAAAAGAATTGGAAAAATCAATAATCTTATTGTAAGGCGTATTATCACCTTCAAAACATTTAAAGTCTACTGCTATTATAAATCAAGCTTTAGAGTACGAAGTTACCATATATTTGATATATCAGTTCCAATAGTACTAAACATAATTAAAGATATAAAAGCATAAAATTTTGTGGTGCAATTTTTCCATATAGAGATCTAGCTATGCTTCGTAATTTATACCTAGGGGGAACCAAGTGACAAGTTTTTTTATTTAATTTTTTTTTTCTAAGTCCGGTCAACTGCAGTTGACTCGACGAATACATGATCATGTCTCTACACAAGAAAACGATTCAATATAAGAATACACGTTTTCTTTCCCGTGGTATCTTATTATGATGCTCACTTTTGTGTTTGAGTTTGACAGAAAAATTAGTCGATTCAGGCTATACGCTAAAATTCGTATGGCTTAATTGTTGAATTTAATGGCAAAATATCAAATATGTTATAAAAGTGAAGAAAAGAGAAGAAAATAGGGAGAAGTTAATAGACTTGTGCGTTTTATTAAGAACCAAAGCCCTCTATTTATAGGGCAGAATTAGGGATACAATAGTAATTATTTTTAGGGCTGCAGGAGTGTAATTGTCATTCACCTTTAAACCCTAATAATCTTTCATTTTACAACACTTCTCCTTGAATGACACATTACAAAATATCTATCTCATTGAAATATTAATTGGCAAAACTCCAATGGGATAAAAAAGCCAACAAAAAAAGTACAAATAATTTGGAATAATAAAATGCTGCCTCGTTAAAACCTTGTCAAGAAAATTCAGTGGGACAAAACTTAATCGAAGGAAAAAGAGTACAGTTACTCACCCTGATTTCAATTCTTACATTAATTCATCATTGCCTTGTATGTCACTATCTTCAATATTGCAACTTTGGTGAAATGCCTCATGTTGTCCTGTACAATCTTCAAATAACATCGTCTTCATAAGGGATACTTTATCGTTCTTTGATAACTGTAGTAACATGATAATTCGAAAAATAGCTCTTGTTGATCTCTTCAAGAGTCTCATACATATAATGTATTATTTTAAGGGTAAATGTCTTGCGTGTTATAGACATTAATTACACGAAGAATATGCCTTATTAAAACTTCATTAGGAAAAATCTTGTGGAAAAAAATCCTAATGAATGAAAAAGGAGTGCATTATTCTTTTGGATACGCTATAAAAGTTGCCTCATTAAAAATCTTGCCAGGAAAACCTAATGAGATAAAACATTGGTCAAGAAAAAAGAGTACAACGTGTATTTCCTCCCCCTTATGATAATATCACTTGAATTATACTTCAAGCATATTCAATCATCCCAAAATGGTATCAAAACAATACAAGATAAATTATCTATAATCACATTTATCACAAGCACATCAAATTTCATGGATAATCATACTAACAAGGTAAATACCTGTGATTAAATCCACCACATGATACCTAATCTATTTATACAAGTGTTCGCGAAAGTCATTATGTAAAAAGTCGTATATTTCACATTACGACTTTACTTTTTCTATTTTCATTTCGCACAAGTATACACCTCTTGGTGTTTGAACTTTATATTCAGAAACTTCAGGTTTCTCTGGTAAGTTCAATTTTATTAGGATCGCATCCATTTTATTTGGTCAATCATTATTTTGATTGATGTATGATGCAACACATCATGTGTAAAACTGTTGTCAACAACCTTTTCTTTTATTGTTCGATTCTATTTCTTTCTCCATGATGACATAACTTATTGAGATATCTCAATTTTCAATATATCAGGTACCTAAACTTCTTCTGAGGTTTTATAATTTGTTATGTCTAAATACTCATAAAAGTGTATGCCTTCTCAATAAAACTATCTTTGCTAATCGCTCCATTTGGAGAATTTTTTGTATTAGAATCGAATATCATCATGCTTCAGACGTACTATCTAATATCATATTAACTAATTGTCCTCTGTGGCGTTAATTCAAGTTGGAGCATTTGAAATTGATGTGTAAGATATTATTGATCCATTTGATCAGTAAATACATCTAATAAATTATATTCCGAACTCTGGTTCAAGTGATCTTTTTCGAGGATTTAGATAATAATGTATTTATATATTAGTTTCAACTTTTTAATTCCTCCCCCTAATGCTGAGATAATTGTCAAATTAAATTAATAAATATTTTTACTGCATTATAAAATATCACCATTTGTAATAAAGGTTCATACTATGCATTTATTCTCAGCATTCATTACTTTCCATTTCAGTGCATTGTGGTGGATCAATTTTATACATACTGCACTATCAAAATAATTAAATGGAAAATTTAGGGTCTGACCATAAGCCAATTTTAATAGAGAGAATTATGATATTGACGAGATGCGTAATAAAATTCCCTAAAAGGAAATGGGAAATATAGGGAGAAGTCAATAGACTTGTGCGTTTTATTAAGAACCAAAGCTCTTTATTTATAGGACAGAATTAGGGATACAATAGTAATTATTTCTAGTGTTGCAGAGGTGTAATTTTCATTCACCTCTAAACCCTAATAATATTTCCTTTTACAACAAAATAGTATTTGTAAAGAAAAATAAATAAAAATCTTATTCATCAATATATACTTAGAATCTCAATAATAGATCGCGTGTTAATTCAAAATGAAAGATCCCAATAATTAACATCCACCAGAAAAGAAAGCTTACGGTTTTACTTGTTAATGTAAATTCTAAGGTCTTCCGCCATTATAGATCAAGCTTAACATTTTCTTATTTATTATTATTATTATTATTATTATTATTTTTTACCCTTTTTTTCTTATTCAATAAGCATCATGAATTGACAGATTTGGTGCGTAGATCTGTGGAAGGATTTTGACTGAATTTTAGTTATATACATTCTTAAACACGCTAAACAATCGTCCTTTTATTTTGCCATTGATTTCCTCCTAAAATTATTCCTATTCTTAAGCTCAAGAACCAGTTTAAACATAGGCTGTTTCAAGAATTCTTCTTCATACCAACAAAATTCCTCTTGGCTCTGAACAAAAGTTCTGTTGAATCATCAATCATTCTGTTCAAGAAACCTCTCTCCTTCATTGACAGTCATGAGAAAGCAAATGAGTTACATGCACAATTGGGTAGAGGTTGCTCCTTCTCCTCTGATTTCCCCTTACAGAGCTTCCAACGCCCCAAAACTTGAGACGATTGTTGAAGAAGGTTCCGACAAAGTGGCTGCTTTTAACAAAAAGGTCATCTACTTGCTTCCCGTGTTGCTTTCTTTTACCTCGTACCTGTTGATAAACAGATATGTTACGGTAATGATGTGAAGAAAAATAAGGAGTTTTGGGCACGTCTAGCTGGCATCAAAAGGGTTTCTCACCTCTCAAAACATTCAGTTTTATGCCATGGACGTGCATCTCCCAAGTACAGTGTAATAAAGTAAATACGTTTCAAGAAATGAAAACGGCATCGTGGGGATCAACTTTGAAAATGTATCATGAGAGGAGGACAGATGCAAAGGATGATTTGAACATGTGCCCAGGAGATTTGATTCTTTCCTCAAGCTAAGAGTTTAGTCTAGAAATGATCTTTCATGTGTTTGACTTACATTGATGATCTATAGGGTTTTAGGTTATTTATGTAGGAGATTTCTTGAGAAAGTTTCAATAAGTATTATATTGAATTGTGATATTTAACACAAATTATAGGTTTCCTTTTCCTATTTGGCTATTGCAAATTTATGCAGCTCTTTTCATCCCCAAATGCTAACTAATCCCCCAGCACTCGGTTCTGACAGTAAAAACAAAAGAAATCAGAGGGAAAAAAGGGAAATCTATATTATGATTCCTTGGCTGCTACCCTCCCTATTTGCATCTCAATCAGAGTTTTCAACTTGCAGTCGTCACAGTTGAAAGAGAGAAAGCGTTTTAAAACTCATGAACAAATTGCACGTGACGTGGATAGAGTTCAATTGCATCCTAAGAAGCACGGATAAGGATACGTTATTTAGATACGATATGACTTTTTAAAAAAAATTAGGTTACGTTGATACGTATTATAAAATTCAACATAATATAAAAAAAAACATTAATACAAAAACATGATAATAATAATAAAAAAATACTCAAGCACTTTATCTTAATCATTAATTATTGAAACTTCATTTTCTTCAATATCACAATATCAATTTTTTAATTACCATAAAAAATAACACTCTCTAACTCTAGTTCATCTAATGAGAGATTAGCAAATTCAAACAGTCCAATACCTTTAGAAGTATCAAACGAGTTTCTGGCAATGTCCCATATTTTGGACTCGCCTTTTTTAGTAGAGATCTAATTTTTCTTGATAAAAGGAGGTAATTACGATGAATGAAAACCAATTTTTAGCTTGTTTTAGAGTTATTTTATTTTTCTCGTAGAATGCACAAAAGAGTGCGTACACCAATATCTTTTTAGCACTAGATGGAAAAAAAGGTTCACAAGATGTTTCAAAGCAATGTTTTGCAGTAAAGGTAAATATAAGTTATGAAGTATCGAATATGTATCAAAAATCATATAAAAATATTAAATAATTAAAAAATATGTATCGGATATATATCGAAAATTCAAAAAATATAAAAATATATAAATAATTAAAAAATAAGTATTTGGTATGTATCGAAAAGCATTGAAGAGTGTCATAACTTGAATACTTATCGGATGCGAGAACATAACAAGTTTACGAGTATCAGTGCTTCTTAGATTGCATCTAATAGATCATGTATCAAATGAGTAGTTTAGGTCTATATCATTAGGACATCAAGCTTGGGCTTGTATAAGTAGTTCAAATCCAGCTTAGAATGAGTTTTAGCCTAAAGTTCAAGCTTTAAGAAGAAATCAAGTAAAACCGAGCACATCAAGCTTGGGCTTTTATTACATGATGTTCTCATTGAAAGATAACCTCTGGCGATATAAAACAATTGGCTCCTACTTAATTTCACAGAAATAATTTATTATATATTTTTTACTGTGAGTTCACCTATTATATTTGGAGTAAGCTTCGACCTGGACTAATAATTGGACTCCCAATCCAGACGCTCGATGCTCACTTTAGAAATCTCAGATTTGAAAAGCAGGTTGGGTAAACTTCAGGCTTTCAAATTTGGATATCTACAGCATATAACAAGGGTACAAGGGCGCAAAAACTGATTTTTTTTCCTCTGATGCTCGGACTCTTCGAAATAGTAGGAGTACCTGTGTCGGATATGATACGACTTGGGTATATGTATGAGATATGTGTTAGATCCTCCAAGTTTCACCTGGACACTTCACCATTTTTACTTCTTTATTCTTTTTTTTTTTTTTTCCTTTTCCTTTTCCTTTTCCTTTTCCTTTTGCTCTCTAAATTTAGTACCACCTCTAAGAAGATAGAGAAGAACAACAATGCTAAGTTTTCCTTTCTTCTTCTTTTTTCTTTTTTCTTCTTGTTTCCTTCTTTCCCTCTCTATATCAGTGGTTTAAGGTTTTATGTGTATAAAATGAAAATGGGTTCCATATAATACTATTTAGTGCTCCAGTAAGTTCAAATTACAACCAAGTCCCCAATTTTCTATTTTATATAATATTTAGTAATTAACTTCGCATAATTGAAAACTAAACCTCAAAATTTTATTTTATTCGTTTTAACCCCTTATTCAATAATAATTTCTTTCTTTGTAAACAATTGATTTTAGTTTATTCAAAATGACATCTTGGGTTAATAAAAAAATTGAAACTCGAAAGACATACCCACGTATCCTTGTCTAAAATTTAGACTCTTTTTAGCAATGTTCCCGTATCTTATATTTTGAAAAATAAAAGATCCGACACTTAGATATATATTCGTACCCGAGTTCGAGCATCATAGTTTTTTCAGCATGAAAATCAATATATGATAGATATTTTTATTTTGAAAAAGAATCAAACCGTGCCTAATTATGCTCATCCAATCACATACACACACGTATATATTTATATTAAAAATCTATTCAAGGAAACCTCGTGAGGATTCAAACCCAGCTTCAGGCTTCAGGAAAATCATGTTACATTTTTTAATTTTTTGCCTGCTGATAATCACTATATTTGGTGAGCCAAAAGGACTTACTTTTCACCATCTAACAATTACCTGATAGATCCATTTCATGGATTATCAAATGACAGTTGGCATTTAAAGGCAGCTTCCAGTCAAACTCCAGAAAGTGAAAATTGGGAAGCTTTGATACCAACATAAAAACATATCTCTTGTGGGATATGCATTTCCTATCCATACAGACACATGGCACTCCATCAACCCAGTAATGAAGCTAATATTGGACACATCTATGTGATACCAATGAGGTTATCATCAACATGAATAACAAACATTGTTTTCACTATAAATACGATAAGTAAGAGGCGGCACAAACGTCTGAAAATCATTTAAGAATTTGATTGGGACCATTGACTTAATTTAAGCCTCATCACTGAACTATAATCTCATCCAATTATTGGAATTCAGCCCAAGCATACTCCTATAAATTTCAACAAGTCGACAGCAATCTCTTCAAACACACTTTTAACCTATTCTTCCATCTTATGATTCTCCAAATATTTCGAAGAGAAAATGGCAAATGCCCGCATCGCTAGATTTATAACTGAAGCAGCGCCACCACAGTTTGTAAATGTTATGAGGCACAGAGCATCAAAGATGTTGGACACAATTCATGAAGAGGAGAAGGAATCCAGCACAAATGATGCTAAATTGCTGTCTCCAAAGAATTTATCAACATCCTCATGTTGTACTGTTTCAGCTTCATCTTCTGAAACAACCAACTCTAAGCATTTTCTCCACGACGTTCAAAGGTCTTTATCTGTATTACGTTATTGAAGTCCTACATTCAGGGCTTGTCCACAATCCTATGGAAGTTCAGATATATGACTAGTCCATCAATTCCGGTTCGGTTTTTCTGGAGTCTGTACAACTTCAATTGCAGACCTAAGACTTGCTGAGAAATAACTACAGATCTTCCTTGAAATGTTTTAGTATGAGGAAGATCATATTGTAAATATACTATTTCGGTATTCAAACTTACTAATCATGTTGGGATATTATTTTTCTTTTCTTCTGCTGCATAACAACTGTTCCATATTCAGGCGATTTACAAGCTTAATCTATCATATTTAGACTTCTGTAACCTCATGATTTTGACAATTTTTTGCCTCTCATGGTTCAAAATATGGTTATTGGTGAATCATAAGCTCATTAATCGGAATTCTTAACTTCTCATGGGGGAATTCTTCAGCTGGAAAAGTTAATTATATTAAAACTACACGTTCGCGATCCATAATCCCAATTCTTCAACCCTGTTAATTCACATTAATCCCAACGAACGTACACACTAATGACCCCATATACAGTTTTCTATTGAATAGTTGTCCGTTCAATAAACATGGGAGCCTAATTGCATAAATATATACCATCTGACAAATTTAACAATAAGATTAGAATTACGGAGATAAAATCATAACAAACAAATTCAGACTGACATTTGATAGATGATTCTGCAAGAAAAGTGAGCCTGGATCTGTTATTAGCCACCGCCATTGGACTCGTCTTCAACTTATTAGCCCATCCGAACATCTTCAATGCTATATGCCATTGACGCTTTTCCCACTGGCTTTATCCCGTGCCATCACATTTCTGTCCTCTGCCGCTGTAAATAAAATTCCGTTCTGCCAAAAACATTTCAATCAGCATGTTAAAAATAACATCAACGAAAATCGACACAAAATCCTAGACATGATACCGTGCCCGTGGCAGCATAAAGGACTCTCTTCCCATTTTCCAGCTCAAAAATTAATCTTGCGTCCTCGGACCCTCAGATACTAATTTTCTGTCATGATGACGACGAAGAACACATCTCATCTACAGACCAAGAGGAACAGATTGTACCAGTAAAGTGGGGAAAGAAGAAAGGAAGGAGTAATCGGAAGTAACGGTGATTCAAATCAGGAAACGACACCGTTTGATTTTATATTTTTTATATTTTTTTATTTAATACATTTTTGGTTAAGGAAACACGCCTTTTATTTTACTTAGCTAAGGGAGGGAATGGCAGGAGTTATTGGATGTTGTCAGGCTCCATCTCCTCTCCTCTCTCTCTTCCCTTCTATCTATCTTTTGTAATTCCAGCTCGCCCCCCGAAACATAGTTTAGTGGTGCAAATGATAGAAGTGAGATTATCTCACGCTTTGCTGGCACCCGCAGTGTGGGGGTTCGATTCTTGAAACATGGAATTGAACTCCTTGTAAGCGCAGTGTACATGCAGTTTTTATTCCCTGGCCCGTTGGAGCACATCCCGCGATTTACCTCCCTCACAAAGCTCTAGGGGCGGGGCGGTGGGGGTCCTCAAGATTGGGGTTCAACCTTTTTTTTTGTGTAATTCCAGCTCATTCAAGTAAATATTTACAGTCTGGGATATTGAACCCAACTGAGTTATTCCAATACTGTGTTGGATTGAAGCATATTTTGTTGGTTTTGATTGAAGTTGGTCCAACCATTACAAGTGGCATCATAGCAGTAAAATTCTTGGCATGAATACTAGGGCCAAGGCAGTAGAGGAGCATTTGAAGAAATTAGACAGGGATGTACTAGATTTGGGAGAAGATTTTAAAAATGTGGGAATGAAGGTGGAAAGGTCATATTAGACCTTACATAATCTGTGCAGCAAACAGGATCGGATGGAGGTCTTAATGACAGAGGTGGACTCTTAAGTATGAATCTATAGTAGCAATGATGGCAAATTGGAGTGGGCAAAAGGGAGAGCCTAAGGACAAATAGAAGGTTAGATCCTCTGTACAATCAACAATCAGTGAAGGAATATTTACACTGAAAATAGGAGTAACACCGGAAGGCAAGGGTGGAAAGAATAACTGGAGAGCAGGAGTTAAGATACCCAAGATCGATTTTCCATATTTCAGTGAAAAAGCCCTAGGAAGTGGTTGCAAAAGGCACAAAAGTATTTTCAAATCCACCAGGTTCCTGATGAATTTAGAAGGGGAATTTGGCCAGATGACCCACTTGGACAATGATTTTGGACAAATAGCCTTTGACCATCAATAAAATGGAATTAAAAAATTTAAAATGTTTTAATTGATAAAATAACAAAATTGTCCTTCAATTTATATCAAATTATTCACCCAACTTCTTTCATTTCACCTTCTTCTTTCTTCTTCCCTTTTCCTGTGAAACCTATTCCCCAAACTTAAATTCCAAACCCATCTTCTTCACCTTAATTTTCACTATATTTCAATATTACAAAAAACTTTTCTTTGACTCTAGTTTATTTCACATTACTTTACTCTCTCTTTGGTACAAGTTAAGACAACAAAAAAGGTAATTTTTTCTACGATTTTTTTTTCTTTTTTGTTATTTTAAAATGTGATTTTGTGCTTCCATTACTATAGTTTTATAATAAAAATTTGTAAAAATTGCATTTTTTTTATGATTTCGTGATTTATTTGTATATTTAGTTTAGTTTTAGCTGAGTTTTTTTAATGTGAATGGATTTTTGATACATTTGGGGTTTTGAAGATGATGGGTTAAAAAAAATTCATTTACTGGCATTGCTATAAATCGAAATTGTGATATGTAAATGTGCTTGTTCTTTGATATGCCTTGAAACTTAGAGAGTTGCATTAAGAATAATTTGATTTAAATAATTCGGCATTTTTAGGAAAATTCTTTATATTATGTTTTACTGTAATTCCTATTTTATGTGAGTTCTATTATTAAACTTTACACTTGTTGATTTCAGAATTTTTTCATATTATATTTTGCCTATTTTTACCACAGTACCCTTATTTGTAGATTGGAACTTCACCTACTAAATAATGTATATAAGTTTGCAATTTAAAAGGTTGTGTTTCCCCTTGACTTTATTGAATCATTTTATTCTTTAGTTGCGTAAACGTTGTATCATTACGCCTACATTGATTATTACTTGATTTGACTTTGATTTACCTGTTGTTCCAAGAAAGAGAACTAGCATTGAAATCGTTTAAAAGTGGAAACACACTAATTTTCGTTGTGACAGATATGGCAGGTCATGGCCTTGATATTCCCTACATTGCTCACGTATCAACAAAGCCACCAGCTGATTTGATAAGCCAATCAAGAGGTACCCATTGGCTAATTTGGTTTACAAGTCGAGCTCCATATAGAGGTAAAAGTAGACGTGGTGTGGGCATTTTGGTGGTCGTGATTTTAGAAGTGATAACTCTTATACTCGGAGTGGGGAAAGCACATATTAGTACAGTGGTAGTGGTTGAAATAATGTTAATTATAGTGGTGGGGGGGTATGATTCTAGTGTAACTAGAGCTTAGGATTAGCGTTTTATAGTACCCCTCAAAATTATTTTGTTTCAATGTATATATATTTTTCACTTGAGTTTGAGAATTTTGATATTTTGAAGAATGTAAAAAAGTTGTAGATTACATTTGAAAATGTGCATATCAATAGGATGACTTTATGCCAGGGGATGAATATTTTTTGTAGGATATGTTTGTCTTTTGTTAAATATTGACGTGTATCTTTATTGTGTTATGTCTCAAAAAAAGACATAAGTGTCATTTCTGGACTTATAAGTGTATATGAGAACGGCACAAGTGACATTGCATAAATTATAAACTTTCATTAAAACAATACAAGTGTTGTTGTTGGACTTATATAAGTATCTATGAGGGTGGAACAAATGTCGTTACAAGCAAATGGGTTAACTTAGTTCAATACTCCATATTCTATGTCACATGATCTAGTTTTCTTGCATAATTTAGAGATCTAGTGCTTGAGGATGAAAGGTCATTGAGAACGATACTTGTGTCGTTACTAAGATGAAAAATTCTAAAAGAATGGCACAAGTGTTGTTTAGAGGATGAAAAGGTCATTGAGAATGACACTTGTGTCGTTACTGATCTTGAAAAGATATAGAGAACAACACAACTGCCGTTATAGTGACAAACTTAATAACGAGTATGACAAAAGCGACGATAATGTTCATATAACTCAAGATAGGGAGAACGACACAAGTAGCGTTATAAAGACAAAAACATGTTCATAAGAACGGCACAAGTGTCGTTACTGCTTATAAAACGACTCTTGTGCCGTTACTGGATTGAGATAAAACATTAAAACGGTGTAACTGTCGTTATGTTTAAACTAGTCGCTATCACGTGCGCTGCACGAATTTTGTATTTATTATATTTTTATTAGTGTATGAATTTTGATTTTTTTGGAAAGTTTTAGAAGCAATATCTAAAAATATTTTCATAATATAAGAAAATAATTATAAATTATTTTTAAAATTGTATAGCAGTATGTTATCTAAAAAAATATGCTTGTATATTTCATGTTTGAATAAGAAATATACAAACTATTTTGTTTGTATTCTTTGATAGTGTTGATATGATTGAATTGAATGTGAAGATTATATTTTTAAATTTTATACATTTATAACAAATTATAAATCCATATTTGCAGTTTACCGTATATGTTGCCTACCGTATTTGTAGCATACTTACCGTATTTGCAATTTACCGTATTTACAGTCTACCGTATTTGCAAACAACTTACCGTATTTGCAGCCTACCGTATTTGCAAACAACTTACCGTATTTTTACATTACCGTATTTTCATCTTACCATATACGCTGCCTACCGTATTTACAGCTTACCGTATTTGCAAACAACTTACCATATTTTCACCTTACCATATATGTTGCCTACGGTATTTGCAACTTACCATATATGCTGCCTACCGAATTTGCAGTGTATTTTTATATAACGATTTTTGCACTTACAAATATCGAGAGTGCAGAACACCGTATATTCACTTACCAAACCGAATTTCAAAAAAAAATTCAGATTTTTATTTTTTCAATATAAGCATGAAATAAATATTTTTCAATAGAAGGTCCGATCTTTGAGGTCGACGCGGAGGAAATGAAGCGAAAAATGGGATAAATCAACAGAACGACATAAGTGTCGTTCTGTCAATAAACACGAGTTTGAACAGCCACGAGGTTTTCGGGCCCCCCTATATTCGAGAAGTTGAATTCATTTGAGTCCCGAGATGGACATGTCGCTCACATAATTTGGGAGATACCTTCATAACTTTGATTTTCTAACGAATGTGGATGGTGACTTGTGATTTCACTGAAATCCATACCAATTCTCCCGTTATCCGTCACGTAATCAATAATTCTGACTTTCTAAAGTTAGGATGTCCAATCTTTGAGTTTGACGCGTAGGAAATGAAGCAAAAAATGGGAGAAATCAACAGAACGACACAAGTGTTGTTAAACGACACTTGTGTCGTTCTGTCAATAAACACGAGTTTGAGCAGTCACGAGCCTTCCAGGCCCTTGTATTCGACAAGTTGAACTCGTTTGAGTCGCTAGGTAGACATGTCGATCACATAATTTGAGAGATACACTCATTACTTTGGTTTTCTAACGAATGTGGATGGTGACTTGTGATTTCAGCGAAATCCATGCCAATTCCCCATTATCCGATACGTAATCAATAATTCTGACTTTCTTAAATTAGGAGGTCCGATCTTTGAGGTCGACGCGGAGGAAATGAATTGAAAAATGGTAGAAATCAATAAAACGACACAAGTGTTGTTAAACGACACTTGTGTCGTTCTGTTAATAAACACGAGTTTGAGCAGTCACGAGCCTTCCAGGCCCTTGTATTCGACAAGTTGAACTCATTTGAGTCGCGAGATGGACATGTAGATTTGAGTCCCGAGATGGACATGTCGCTCACATAATTTGGGAGATACTTTCATTACTTTGATTTTCTAACGAATGTAGATGGTGACTTGTGATTTCACTGAAATCCATCCCAATTCTACCGTTATCCGTCACGTAATCAATAATTCTGACTTTCTTAAGTTAGCAAGTGTTGTTAAACGACCCTTGTGTCGTTCTGTCAATAAACACGAGTTTGAGCAGTCACGAGCCTTCCAGGCCCTTGTATTCGACAAGTTGAACTCATTTGAGTCGCGAGATGGACATGTAGATTTGAGTCCCGAGATGGACATGTCGCTCACATAATTTGGGAGATACTTTCATTACTTTGATTTTCTAACGAATGTAGATGGTGAC